GTTCTCATCTTTTTTTAGCTGGAACAAATTATTTCAGATCAAATTTACCTGATTCTTTAAAAGTTTACGTAAAGCTGTCTTGACTACTTACTGCCTTCTTAGGGGCCGGTTTTTGCCAGCCAATTCAGTTTCTTCTGTTACTGGACTACTTAGGTTTTTCATATTTTACATCAGTTTTTGAAATTTTTATTATCTTTTAAAATAACCATTTTATCTGGCTGTTCAAATGTAGCCATGCCTTCATTTATGATGTTAGTTTATGAATTTTTCCTTTTTTTAAAACAAACATGTTAAAGGATTGTCTCTTCTGATAGCATTTTTAAAAAAGCTATTGGTTTTACTATTTCATGTGTTTGTTTTCATCATTTTCTGCTAATATAGTTTATTCCTGTCTTCTAATTCCATCATTTTTACTAGCATTTTAAATTGAGAGCTAAGTTCATTTGTTAGAAATGATTATTTTCTCATAATTTGTATTTAAGCTATGTATTTCCTTTTGAGAACATTTTTGCGCCATCTGTGACTTTTGTTCCACAGTGTTTTCAGGGCTGCTTAGTTCTAAATAGTTTGTAATTTCCTTTTTTGCCTAAGACTTATTTTAAAGTGTATTGTTCAATTTCTAGATGATAAGCACATTTACTTTGAAGAAAAGTGGGAATTGATTTTCTTATCCTAGCCCTAATAAGGAGCCCTGGTGGCACAATGGTTAAGAGCTCAGGCTGCCAACCAAAAGGTCAGCAATTCGAATCCACCAGCCGCTTCTTAGAAACTCTACAGGGGAGTTCTGCTCTGTCCTGTAGGGTCGCTGTTAGTCGGAATTGACTCGATGGCAGTGGGTACGGGAGCCTTAATTCAGTCAATTGACTGCTATCTCCATATTTTATAAAGTTTTGTAATTCACTTTTCTCTTCATTTTGTGGAGGAATAAAGAGGAAAATGATGTTTGATGAAGTTTTGAACATTCTAAGTAAATGTCCCTGCTGAACAGTGGCCCATCTGATTGCTTGGATTTCTCGATCAGTGTCACTCACAGTGTGGCCCTTGAATCCACAGCATTGGTATCTTCTGAGGGCTTGTTAGAAATGCAGATTCGTGCCTCTCACCCTATTTAAGGAATTGGAATCTATGGTAATAGGGTCCAAGAAACTGTTTTAAAAACAAGCTCTCTATGATTCTTCCACACATTAACGTTTGAGAGCTGGCACTCTAGATAAATTGATAGATTAAATTTAAGCAAAATCAACTATATTTGTATGCATGTATATTTGCATAAAGCATGTAAAATAAGCTTTGTATGTAAAGTAATTAATAATTAAATTGGGCCAGACTTTTTCCTTAGTTTTTGATTGGTTTCATTTAATGAGTCTTTTGTCTATTAATTGTTCCAGGAGAGTGTCCGTGTTAACAGTTTTCCTGTTATCACAGGTTTAGACGACTCATTCAAGTTTTGGAGGGCTCCATCTGTGCTGTCCAGTCGAGATCAAGATCCAGGTTCTCTCTCCACCTTGGAAACAATGGTACTTCAAGGAATGCATAAGTGCTTCATTTCAAATCTGAAAAATTTCAATCTAGGTAGTGGAGATATCAGGCTGGATATAAAGTACAAGGTTATGGTGAAAACAACTATAATTTACGTTAAGTGTTGTCTGTACAGAACTCTGCTAGACATTTACTTAAATTATTTCATTTAATCTGCATATCAGCAAGGTAGCTCCGTTTTAGCCTCTACGTATGAGGCAGTCACTCAAAAGTTAAGTCACTGTGATCAATAGCTATTAAGTTGCACAGCTGGAATTTGAACTAGAGTCATCCTCACTCTAGTATAGCTACACCTATTGCCCTGAGTATGTCCTTTTAGGTGAGAGATTTCAACCCCTCTTCCCTCTGTTTTGACAGAATCATAGGTACAAAAATTTCTGGATGTTTATTAATAGTAGTAGAAGAAGAGAACAGATCTAAGATGATTAAAAATGCTTGATTACCCTGAAATTTTGCTTAAGCGCAGGGCAGTTTTAGAGAAAGTTGAACAAATCAAGTGACTCAAGTGTGGTAGTAATGATTTTAAATAAATTTCTAAATACTTGCATCAGATTTAATCTGGTCTTAATTATCTGAAATAGCAGAAATGTATGCTTGCCTGCCTTTCTTTTTCTTTGATTCATTCATTGATAAGTTGCCTGTTCCAAAAAAATTGAGACATTAATTATTTCTAAATAATGAGCTGATACTAGACTTCAGTAGTTTTACATGCATACAAAACCATTTATTCTCAACTGGAAAATATTGCATTTAACTTTAGAGTTTTTGGAATAATTACTGTGTTGTAGGACCTATTAGGAAGGCAATGGTTTTGACACTCCAGCTTCCCTAAGCAAAAATAGAGAATAATATGAGAATAATAAATAATCATACAGGCATTAATAGGATTTACTTCCTGCAATTTTTCAAAAGACTGGTAGTTTTGAGAGTCTTTTTTTTTTTTTTTTAACTTAGAAGAGTTTGTGTTTAGTGCTAAATGACCTTTATTTGAACAAGTGTGATAATTATCCCAATTCCAGCAAATGTCATGCCTTCTTTTCCAAGCTAGAGATAGTATGTATCTTTCTCTAATCAAGAGAAATAATAATATGATTAAGTGCCAAAATCAACTACCAATTTAGTTCACAGGACAGCATCAATATGTACTAAAAAGTACATCTTCTTGGTTTACCCTGTGTCTTAAAAGGGCTAAAGACAAGCTTAGAAATCTTTGTACATTCTTCAATTACTTGCTTATAGTAGGTACTCAGTAATTGCTGTAATTAACTTTTGAGTTATCTTAGCTATTTTGTAGCGATCACTCAAGTTGTACTTATCCTATACAAGAAGACTTAAGTAAAAAAAGCAGAAGGAAATCTAACTTTTGTATTTCTCTATTTTATGATAAAATATAAATCTTACAGATTGTTGTTAGGTG